GTTTGTATATCTGGAGCGTGTAACAAAAGTAATTTCCCTATGGGATTATTAAAGTATGTCTGATTCTGATCTGAAGGAACTGTTCAACAAGGAAAATCAAGTATTAAAGAATGGAGACTTGGAAATAATGAGGAGTATACAGAAGCAATTTAAGGTCAAGATGAGACAAAACAAGATGAAATAGTGGAAGAGGCTCTAAAGTAGGGTTGTTAAACATACGGCCGAGGGCTGGAACCGGCCCACAGAGCGATATATATGCTAAATATGCTATATTTAAGTTTAAATCTGCAGTTCTTATATTATGCAGAGGGTATTTTATTTTTAGCAGAAAGGATGATGCAACACTGCATTGGGAACTAACAGCAGATGATCACTCTCATATCTTTTTATTTTGGTCCTGGCAAACTCATCAAGAAAATGCCTTTGTCAAAAAAAAAGAAAGATAAACACAGAGTGTCAGAATTTTTAAGAAAAATTGACTTCTTATTTGTTCACCGAGGTGAATAGAAAACCCATGTGCCTGCAGCAGCTTTCGCTGCTTAAGGAATACCATATTCAGCACCACTATGAAACTCAGCATGACGAAAAATACAAGCACTTGCATAGAGAACTTAGAAAACAGTGAGTCCTTCCCTGGCTTTATTTCAGTATTGGCCTCAAAATTCCCATGGACCTAGAACTAATCACTCTGATCTCCCTCTAGTGTTTCCGGTTCACCTGACCGCTGGATATTCCCCAAGCTGAGAATTTTTGTTAAACTTTTCATCCGCCTCTGAGTTGTATCTGCATGTGGTAAAAATATCTGAAACCCATCATGACATGATGGGGAATTGAAGGACAAATTTGCATCAGTTGGCTTGGACTCATTTACATGTGTCTCCTACCAGGGTTTCCTAAATTGACAGAACTGGCTGCAAAAATATTGTCCATGTTTGGGACTACCTACCTTTGTGAGCAGATTTTCTCACTAATCAATATAAATAAAACAACGCTGCACTCAAAGCTCTCACATAAGCACTTAAATGAGACTGAAATTGGCCACTGCTCAGGACATGATGCTGATATTGATGTACTTGCCCAGGCTAAATGATACCAAGTTTCAGAGGCAAATACTGATGAAAACTAAATCCTATGGCAGGCTACTGTCAATATTATATTAATAAAAATGACAGCTTTGAATATTTGCTGAGTTAACTCTGTTTAAGTTAGTACTAGCCAGTAACAGGTTTTTAACGAAAGAGTTATGTTACGTAAAATATTTCTTATGCACTCAATACATGTTATGTAAGTTTTTCTATATGTATACATTTTATGAATCAACAAGAAAGGTGGCAAATGTTCTTAATTAAATGCTTGTTGACAAAAGCTGACACTTCAAATGTGTGAAGCCAGATAAGTTCTAACAGCTTCCCAGATGTGGAAAATTGATTTTAAATCAATTCTTAATCTGTATATGTATTTTGTCATGTAGGGCAGTATTTTTAAGTTCCAAAAACTGTGAATAAATGTTTCACAACATGATTCAATCACTGATCAGTTTTTATGCATGATGCTCTCAAATAAATGTTTTACTGAGAAAAAGTATTGTAGAAATTGAACATACTTTTCTTAAATACTCTGAGTTTATTCATAATGTATTTTGTAAAAGGGACATTTGTCAATAACAGGTCCACTTCTATTAGTTCAATTTAATCTTGCATTGAGTTTACTTGAGATCAGATTAAGCTGTATGCAGCCCCTAAACCAAAATTAGTTTTACACCCCTGCTCTAAAGCAAGCTCAAGCAGAACATTATCAGAAATATGTGGCTCAGGGATGAAGAAGATCACAGCCTTCAAGCAAAAAGATGACCACACAGGTGGAGGTCTGGGCAGAGCAAATACACTGAATACATTCTTCAACATGTTCAGTTTAGGAACAAGCTCAGGATCCTT